CATATGCAAAAGCCTCTGGGCACAGGGTGGGTGGGGCCAGGTCTCAGGGGATCAACAGGGTGGAGCAAACAGCTATGGCTGATCCTCAGCCCTGCCCTAAGAGGCCCCGCCTCTCAGTGTCCTGGTGATTGCTGCAAGCATCTCTGAGAGAAAGCTGCCCTTGAGTTCCGACTGATGCCAGACAGTCCAGTTTCTCCCTGTATGAGTCTGGGTCCCCAGAGACTCGCCTGGAACTGGAGTTCAGAGTAGCCGGGAGCTTGAGACTCCCTCCCAATTGAAAAAGACAATCGTGTCCTCAGTTGCCAGCCCTTTCCGTGTGCGCCTCCGTACCTCTGCACTTTACTTCCGCACCTCCTCCGAGTCTCAGTGTGCTTTTCTCTTTCCTTCTAGTTGCAGAATTTCCACTCAGCCAGCCTTCCTGTGGTTCTGGATGATGTCCGTTTTGTCTCTTAGTTGTATTTTTGAAATGGTTGTGTGAGGCAGCAATTTCCAGTGTTTACCTATGCTGCCATCTTGGTTTTCTCCTCCATCTGGACTTTAAAGGAGCACCTCACCTGAGAAGCACACTGCCCAACTTGGACCCAGTGACTGTCACCATTGGTTCTAAAGAACCATTTAGATCACAGTGTGTGATCTTAGATTTTACTTTAAAATAGAAACTCAATTTTCTAGATCAAACACTTCCCTAAGTCCGGTCACTTTCATGTATCAACACCAGTATTTATATAATCAGGGACAAACTGTTTCTAGGAAGTTCTGTTATTTTTTCACGCCTTTTGACTTGACAAGATTCTGGTTTCCAAAAGAACAAGCCCAAACCCAACAGCAGGGCCTGGTATGAGCGCTGGTTACCTTGGATTTGAAGAGTCCTCGGCAGTAGTGCCAGACCTGCGTGTTCTTCCCGCTGTAGGGGGCGGTGCACACGGAGTTCGCCCGGGCGTCAGCGGCATTTCCAGTGGCCGTCAGGTACTCCTTCTGGGCCCGGTTCTTGATCCTGATGTACCCTGCAGGCTGACGGGGAGAAACAGGCATTTAGGAAAAACCTGTTGAATGTGGAGATCAGTCCTTCCCAAGGGGAGGCTTGGAGGAGGGAAGGGAGAGGTGATGGGATTTACCGTGGTCCTGTCAGTTTCACTCAGCCCCTTTAGCAAATATATATAAATTAATATTTCCTATTAGCAAGTCCTTACACCACTGAGCACAAAGCTCCAACTTACAATCTCTATTGTATTTTTCAGAAAAATGTCCTTTAGAAGAGTAAAGGTAATACTTTTATTCTCTAGAATTCTGTGTGGCACGGGGGTGGAATTAGGGACTTGACAAACTTAATTCAATAGCTGCTACGCTCTGTCTGGGAGGCAGGGGAATAGGCCAGGTACTCCCTACGAGGACCTCGCAGCAGCTTCGTGCAACCATCAGACACACTGTCCTGAGCTGTGATTGAGTGCCAAGTGACTGCTGTGGGAGGTCTTAAAGACCCAGGTGGCCGAGCACCCTAGGAGCTGTTGTAATCTCCTCGTTTACATTTACACTTTGTTGACCTTTACACTGTTTATTAAAACACTGGGTAACAAAGGACTTCATCCCCTGGATGTGGAATATAGACAGTTTTGAAATATTAAATCTAGGACTAGCCTCTAAAGCAGTGGTTCTCAACCTGTGGGTCGCAAACAATGAAAATACATCCTGCATATCAGATATTTACATTACGATTCATAACTAGCAAAATTACAGTTATGAAGTAGCAATGAAAATAATTTTATGGTTGGGGCTCACCACAACATGAGGAACTGTATTAAAGGGTCGCGGCATCAGGAAGGTTGAGAACCACTGCAAGACAACAGGTAATATAAAAAACTGAATACTAAATGCTTTCTGAGCGATTCTATTATGTCAGTATTAATAACCAGAACAACCCTTTAACCAAGTATAACTATGACCTGAATTTATCAGAATGGTTAAACAGAGGTGGAGAAGCATGGTTTGTCTGCACACA